TATTTTATAATATAGCATGTTTCTTTATTATAATCAACTTTTCTATTTAATTTTTATTTAGAAAAAAAAAAAAGAATAAAATATAAATTGTATCGATAAATATAAAATATTTCAATACATATTCATAATTTAGTCAATATATTAAATTTTCTATTTCATTTGATATTTATAAAACATAAAAAATTTAAACATAAATAAGTTTTATTATAGTGAAAATAATTCTTTGGCAGAAAAATATTTTATTAATTATCTAAAATAATAACATACAATAATAATATATAAGTTGACATAGAATAATTGCATATCAAAATCTTTATATTTATAAAATTTTATTTCAATTTATTTTTTTTTTTTTTAAGTAAAATATTCGTCAATATCTTGTATATATATTTGTATACTGTAAATATTCGTAAAAAGATTTCATTGATATTTATTTCTGTGTTCTGAAGATGCTTTCTATTTTCAATATTATTGAATGTGTAAGTCCTCCAATATTGCGCCATTCTTTATATTATTGTAAGAAAAATTCATTTATAATTCAAATTTAATTTCATTTTTTACTTTTTCTATTTTTGAAATATTTCAGCATTGCAAGAATAATACTATGTAAATTATAATTTGTTAAATGCATAAAATAAATTAATTGTATAATATATCATTTTTTACAATCTTTTTTCTATTTATTTCTACATATATATATTAATGCAATAATTGCATTTAATAAAATGTAATTTAATAAATGTATTGATAAATCAAAAATAATCATGAACTTTAAAAATATATAATATCTAACATATATAACATATATAATGAAAATTCTAATTTTTATATTTGATGCATTAAATAAAAATAAAAATTGCTTTTATAAAATAATATAATAAAAATTTTAACAATGCTGAAATGTTTTAAAATAAATTGATTATTAATTGTGTTAATAAGTGATTAAAAATACAGAATGTGCTCACATAAAACATGTTTCTGTAATATAAAATATTCTAATTATCAATAATAATATTCTTTAATACACAGTTATTATTTTATTTGATATATATATATTTATAAATTTTAATTAATAAAATTTAAAAACTAGATCATATTTTTATACGGAAATTATATTAAAATTAAATATAAAATGCAAGTAATTATTGTTTATATAATCTTTATTTTTTAAATTAATATTTTTTAAATCATGACTGGAAAGAATATGTTTAAAATAAAGTTCAAATTGATCAAACTTGATATATTGATTAGATAATAAAAATAAACGATATTTAATAATTATTCGTATTTTGTGATCTTCCCATACCTCTTTTATTATATTTAATAATTTTTTTGATTATAACAAATAATTTCTATGAAAATTATTGAATATTTATAAATATTTCAAGTAACCAATATAAATTTACGAAATATAACTAAAAATTATTAAAAAATAAGATAAAAATACTCAAAATTAACGATTAATATATTCATTAATATATAAATGTATTTCGATTGACAATAAAAATATATATTAAAGCGTTATATATAGTAACAAAGAAGTTTAAATTTTATTAAAATACATTTTAGTAATTGCAATACAACAAAATGCTACAATTCTTATTGAGCGCTTACTTTATGTAATTATAAATGTAGTATGTAATATAACAAATATTTTTACAATATTATAATGTAAATATAAGGAATAAATTGTATTGTACAAATACATTTAAAATTGTGAATGTAAAATTCTATTTTGTTGGTGAAAAGCTAGTTGGACTCAATATACGGGAATGTGTTTCTCTAATTAATGGTACAGTATATGCAACACATTCGTCCCATCCTGGAAGTCTCCATGCACTCTCACGAGTTTCCATTCGCGCTTGAAGATTTTTATAACCTGGAATTATATTTATTTCTTATTTAAAAAAAAAAAAGAAAATAACAGATTATATATATATATATATATATATATATATTTAAAATATAATATGTAACAACATATAAGACAGTTCATTTTTTAATTTAGTATTATAAATATTTATGAACATAAAGCTACTAAAAATTATAATGAAAATACGAAATAAAATGGAATTGATAAATTTTTTATTACTATAAAAAATATAATATTAGAATTATTATCAAAAATTCATTTACAGTTTTTGAAGCTCATTTTAATTTTTTTTCATTTTAAAAATTTTTTGTATCAATTTATTATATATAATATATTTATGGAATATCTTTGGAAAGCTGATTTTAGATATCAAAACAAAAATAAAAGTTAATATATAAAAATATATATAAATAGTTGACTTTATTTGTAAGTTCAAATTAATTGAAATTTACATTATGAAATGAGATAAATATAAGTAATATAAAGTGAGACAAAGATAAAGTTATTTTTCTATCTCATTTTATCTTTGCAGATTTTAATTATTTATAAATAAGCATCAAATAATATTTTTACATATTAACTTTTATGCTTATCAATATATTTTATTAAAAAATTTTATATGTATCAAAATGAAATGGATTTGAGATTAATTATAATCTAATTATAATTCGATTTTAATTATAATTTTTTAATAAAACTTTTTCTTATTATTTAACTATGAAACATACTAATAAAATGAAATTGAAAAAAAGTGAAATATTTTGAATATATATAAGTAGTTCACCAGATATTTCATTTTTATCATTATTGTTACTTATAACAAAAAGTATTTTATATAAAATTAAATGATTTCTAGACTCATTTTGATGTTATTAATTTTTATAATAATGGTGATGAAAACTGAGATGGTAATATCTGATGAATATATATATTTAATCACATATATTTAATCACATATATTTAATTTATATATATTTAGTTTATATTATAAATGTGATATATAAAATGAATTTAAAAATGAATGAAAAATATTAACATTGATACCTACACCAAATGTGATGAACATTATATAATCTACCAATTTGTGAAAAGAAACCAGCAAAAGGTTCATTATTGTTACGTCTATAATTTATAGCCTTTGCCCAATTATTGCCCCATTCTATCATAGTACCAGGTTGTAGCCTATAACTGCGTATTTCATATATATTTGAATCATTTCGTTTTGTAAGAGGAGGCCAATAACTAAATGCTAACAAATATTGTAAATAACGTGATCGTAAATAATTGCCATTTTCTTTGAATAATTGTTGATATGCCTAAAAATAAAAAATATTATGTTATAAGAAATATTTATTTTATATTATTTTATATAAATTTTTTTGATTGTCATACTTTGTCTTTAGACAATTCAATTTGTGTATGATCAACGCTATCATAACCACCAGAATATTGCCATAGATGTAAAGCTTGATCGATATCACCAGCTACGACAGTCCATGAACCAACTAGTTCCAATTTCAATTCAGACTTCTTGGAGTTTATAATGTTAACAATCTCTTCACTGTAATATCCCAAAATACAAATATGTCCCAATATAATTTTTCTAATATAAAAGAATTCTCTGTGCATGCCAATTCTGCGACATAAATAAAATCTAATATTTTTTTGAAACTTTTAAAAAAATCGAAAAGGATTTTTGTGCGTATATTTTAAATACTTATGCTTTAGAGCTAAGATTTGATATTATAATAAAAAATGTAAACAAAATTTACTTACTAATTAGTTAAATAGTTATCAATAGAATCAGGTCGAATATTGTGCGTATGCAAAGCGTAAATAACTCCTTTATCTGATAGCATCCTTGAATGAGACTCTTTTGTTGGCTCGATTTTTCTTACGGAAAGCTTGTTTATCCATCCTTCGCTGATATCCTGTCGGATCGATGACCTTGCAAAAGATCTACAACACATACGATGTGGCTATTGCCCTAAAAAGCCGCTGTTTAGAGACTAACTCGTAGTCTATGTACGAAACATATGAAAAAAGAAGGGCTCCTCAAGGTTTTTGAATCTTGATCGCCTACCGGCTGATAATAAATGACGGTAGTTTAGTTTTGCTGATCACCGTGATCTGCGCGGCACTGAATCTTCTCAAAACGGCAGCCATTCTTAGTGGATCCTCGCTTACAGATCTCTGCTGGTTTATATCCAATCAAGATCAAAGCCCAATTTCAATAGTGCTGCAACTAAACACGCGGCGCTTTCAATTACTTTCCCGGAAAAATCGTATACTATTCTTGATTTATTCTTATTTATCTCCATTCGCGATCTGTTGCTTTTACAAAAAGTAAGATTTACAACTATGAGAAATATACTTATCAAATAAATTAAAGAATTTAATATCACAGCGCTTGCGTCTTTCATAAAATATTTTATTCTCGGTATAATAATATCATTAAATGTACTTGTTTTATTCTAATTTATCTCTGATAAAAAAATAATAATTTAAAATAATAATGCTTAAATAATAATGTTAAAAAATTTTATTATTTTATGATTTAAATATTACATCGTTAGATAATTTTTCATATAACTTAATATGGTAGAATTTATAAATATAAATGTAATTTTTAAAAATTTTAATATTTATATAATAAATATATTATCTTTTATTTTTAAATAAGATGTTGGAATATAAATATTTTAATTTTTATTCATATTTATAAAATTAATTTTATATAATATATAATTTTGATATAGTATATAAATTTAATTAATTTTTTATAAAAAAAAATTTTTCATATATTTTTTTATTTATATTATTTAAGTAATTTTTGAATTCAAAACATTATATTTTTAAATTTAATATATTATGATATATGAATTATATATTTTATTTGTTTGTAATCATTGTTCATAATAATTGTGATTTTTTTTGATTAAGTTATTTACTTATAACCTAACCTACTTATAATCTATATACAGCTTTTGTTTTTAATTGATCTAGATTAGTTTTAATTTTCTACATTGAATATTAAATTAAACTATATATTAACTATATTATTTTACAATTAATTATGTTAATTATATAAATATTAATAAATATTTTAAAATATTAATAAAATATTTTAATATTTAATTATATTATTGTAATAAAAGTATCTTTTAATTTTTTTATAATTTAATATACTATTCTTAATAAATTTAAAAATGGAAAATTCAGAAGTTATAGAACATTTTTATGGAGTATATTTATTATATTCTATGAATCCACAATTTAAAGGAAGAATATATGTGGGATTTACGGTTGATCCTTGTCGTAGACTTAAAGAACATAATGCTGGAAAAGAACATAAAGGTGCTCGGAAAACAAGTGATAAAGGACCATGGTAATATAATTATTGAATGATCATAAATTATATTTTTGATAAGAATAATTTGTTTTTTTCTAGGAATATGGTACTAATTATTCATGGTTTCCTAAATAAAACATCTGCACTTAGCGTATGTTCATTTAATAAAATTTATTAAAAATTAACTTTATCTATAATTTTTATATTTGAAATTTAATTTGTTTTCATTTTTAGTTTGAATGGGCTTGGCAACATCCTCATAAAAGTCGGCGTTTAAAACATATATATGTATCTAATGCAAAGAAAAAATTACAACAAAAAAGAAAGATTAGATTTCATTTATCTGTTTTATCAGAAATGTTGAAAATTGGTCCTTGGTGTCGTTTACCTTTAACAATACGTTGGTTAGATTATGAGTTTTATGAAGAATATTATAGATATGTTTCAGCTCCAATGCATATGCCTATATGTTACGGAAAAATAATATCAAAAAAAATAAAGCAGACAAATAATATACAAGCATTAGATAAATTATCTATAATTTGTTTTCTTTGTAATTCACTTTTAGAAAAAGAACAATCAATTAGCTGTATAAGACCTAACTGTTCATTAATAGCTCATTTAATTTGTTTAGCACAATTATTTTGTAAAGATAATATGATTTTACCAATTGAAGGTATTTGCCCTGCTTGCAATATTAATGTTTTATGGGGAGATTTAATTAGAAAAAAAATTGGTTGCTATGGAAATTTAGAAAAAATTTCTAATGATGAAAATTATACTTAAAGTAAATTATATAAATGTTTATAATAATATATGTTATATCAATTATAAAATTATATAAACTATTATAATTTTGAAGTTTTTAATTATTTATTATTTCTAACTTTTTATATGTTAAAGATATTATTAAATATCATGAATTTAAAATTTTATTTTTTATCTGATCAAGAATAGCAAATAGTTAAATTAATAAATATTTATTACTAATAACTTTATTTTAAATAATGAAAAAAATTATAATAAAATTACAAATTGAAATCATGAATGTTTAAAATATAAATTATGAAAAATAATAAAGGTCCATATAAATGATCTAATTATAATCTTAAAGTACTTCAATAAGAAAAAATTTTATGATTATTTCAGTATTTAATTTAATTATATATAAAAAAAATGCAAATACTTGTAAATATCAAATATTTCATTCATTTCACTTCATATGTCTAAAAAAAGCAACAATTATATATTTATCAGTCTTTATTTATAACTAATCGACAAATCAAAATATATTTATATGTATATATCTGTATATGTCTCTATATTTTATATAAAGACATTACATACATATATATATTTATATGCATTTGATAGGAAGAGATAGAAGAAAATTTCTTTATTTCATGGATATTTAATTACAATTGCAATTAAATTGAAAGTAAAATCAAGACCAGCTTGATTCTTTTGTGCGAATTTGTTTACATTGAAATTTAAATATTACTAAATTATAATTTCGACATTTCAATTCATTGCATCAATAAGCATCTAGATTTTCTAATTTTAAATTTTTCATTTTATTTCGCTTAAGTGCATCTAGAATTTTTATTTCAACTATTCAACGTTACGAAATATTCTAAATGTGAATATTCGTTATATAAGATAATATTCTACATGTATTTTATTGAAAATTCAGAATTATTTTTGCAAATCGTATATATCTGTACACGATCGAATAAAATACTTGTGCGTGTACTTTTTTCATTTTATTTTCGACAGGAACGCAATTATATTAATTTGTTGTTAATTTGTGAGATTCAGGCACATTGACGCTTAAGAATACATAAGGAGGGAGAAAACTGGAAGATATGAAGGAAATAAGCAAAAGTAGAATAAATGTAAGAGGATAAAAAAAGGAGAGGTCAAGTAGAATTTAGTTTTTAAAATATTTTTATGAAAATATAAATATTAATTCATCATTATGCGTAAATCAGCGTTGAATTTTGTTTAAGTATATATTATATATATTCATAATTTATAAACATTATTATATTTTTGTATGTAAATCTAATTTTAAATTCAGATGATTAATTTAAAATAAACAATACTAACAAATAACAATATAAATTATAATAGTTGATAAAATATATTATAAACAAATTATAAGTTAAATTATTAAATTATTATAATACAAATTTATTTTACATTAATGTATTTTGTATAATTAACATTATAATGCTATGAATTAAAAAAATTTAAGAAATAATCAAGATTCAACGCTGATATAATCAAGACTTTCTAGATAATCTTATATTAACATATTCAAATATATTAATAATATTCATATATCGAAAATAATAAACAAACAATATGCCGATCCTCTTAGCCTTCCAGTTTATCCATTTTTGTTCGCATATAATCGTACATGCAAAATTGTACGAAATATGATTCTTTCATTGATCATATTGTTATTCTATTATTAATCATTTTTTTATTTTTCTTTAATTTAGTTTGGTAGCTTCGTGAGGTAGTACAACTCTTTTAGTAAGACTTGGCATAGTGATATAATTTTGAGAATTATTCTCTATGCTGTGATTCTGCGATAATTCTAAACATTCAGAATTTGGTGACATCAAGCATTCGTGAATGAAGCTACAAACTGTATTTACGTAAGCATCACGATAGGTAGCATAATGTTTGACGTGTGGAGAATTTGTGAAAAGTACCAGTTGTACTCGTACACCACGTTCTGCTCGTCGACTGGCAAATTTTTCGACGTCCTTGAAATATGATCAACGATAATGTAGATGAAAAGAGAATTTAGATGAAAAGAGAATATTTATTGTAAATATTTTAATTGTAATGTTTTGTTGAAAATACGTACTGATGCTGGAATTAAATTATCTGCATTTGAGTAGAGAAATAATTGAGGCCAAGAATAGGATTCTTCTGCAAGACCAATTGGATTTGTTTGTATTGGATAACCACGTCCAAGAGCATGAGCGATTACCTAGATAATTGATCAAATCATTTCTAATTTTGAATTTATATAATTATTTCATTATCATCTAATAATTAAAAAAGCTGATAATTAGAAAAAAAATATTTATAACTTTAATTTTTTTAATTAATAAGAAAGTAAAATGAAATAAATTTACTTTTCTTATTCATTATAATTTCTAATCATTTGATTATTTATTAACAATTTTAAATTTTCTAAAAAAAAAAAGAAGAAAAAAAAATAAAAAAAATTAATATAAAAGAAGTTAGTATTATTATAAATACCTCTAAAAACCAAAGTATAGACAAGAAAATTGTAATAAAGAAGGACATCGGTATGTTTGTAATAGGATGTCCTCCTATGATAGCACTGATTGCTTTGAAAAGAGCGGTCAATCTTCTTTCTCCTGGAGCGCTATCAAATATCACTCCTTTGACCTATAATTTTAATATATATTACGTAAAATAATAAAGCAAAAAAAGGTCGAAAGGTAAAAGGTAAAAGTATTTTTTACCTTGAGCGGTGTGTTAGCTTGTTGCATAGCAAGGCTTACATGTTGGTATAAAAACGCGCCGCCGTTACTGAAGACATGGAAGAATATCGGATGTTGATCCAAACTCTTGTCGGTTATCACTTGAATTAATCGTTTGCCGATGTAAGGCATTTTGTCTCTTCGCCAAAATAGGCATTCTACTGGTGCTGTGTATCGTAGCGTGATGCAACTTGAAAAATGAATATTATCCTTTCATATATGCTAAATAAACAAAATTTCATGATTTTTATAAGAAAGTTCAATTATTTATCTAAACAATAATTTCTTGAAATAATTTAAATAAATAAATAATTTCTATTAGTTCAATTTTGAATTATTATCGATTAAATAAATAGTATAGTATATTTGCCGACAATTTTTTATCACATCTCATCAACTATTTTATCAAACTCATAAAATTTAAATCTATGCATAAATCTTATAAAAAAATATTTTATATATGCATATAAGTAAATATTTATTTTTCTATTCTATTTTTTCAAGTTTTACTCATATTACTAATATTGATACTGACATGCATTGTTTCAAATAATATTTCATTATGAACTTTCAATATGTAATTAATTATTTACAACTTTACATTCTCAAGTTTCGATCATTTCGAATAATAAAAAATAAAGAAAAAAGAATGATGCGATTCGAAAATAGGAAATAATTTAAAGGAATAATTTGGAAAATATTGGTACCTTTTCTCCTCATAAATTGCGCTGTACTTGGCCAGATATTTGTCTTGACAGCCGGCCCATCCTAGCAATATTATCACTGGCCGTTTATCCTCTTTGTAGACGAATACGAATTCTTCGCGTTGATCCTGGCTACCAGTAGTTAATGTTGGATCCTTTGGGGATGGTGGAAACGATGGAAACATGATGTAATAGTCGAGATCTTCTTGATCGCTCATCTTTCCTACTTCTCGTCCTCCTCCTCGTGAGGACGGGAGAGAAAGAACACAGAAAGCAAGGGAAGGGAAACTGTGAGTGAACTGTAAGGGTGAAAAGGAAGGAGGAGGAAGTTAACAACAGTAACGAAAGGGAGGACAAATCACCCCTCTTCCACGGACAGATTCTCGTTTTGAGTTGAGCTTGCGTCGTCGTCAGCGTCGAGAGTACTGAGCTACCAGAAGATCGATACTAAAGACTCGTATCAAAGTTAGGTGTCACGAATGAGGATGTCGACGTTTAACGTTATCCATAAATTCTCTCCGCATAGAGAATATTTTCTTTTCTTCCTGAAGATTACCATCCACAATATTATTCATCAGGCAAATTTTTATTCGATAACAAATATCAATTTCATATCGATATATCCTATCCACGATAGTTAATAATAGACTATCGAAATTATTGCCGAAGTTCATAGCATTGCATGTTTTGGCGCATATTTGTTGTGATTTTTATATAATTTAATTAATTTTTAAAATAATATTATTTTTTAAAATAATATTATTGTAGATAAAAGTAATTTATATTATCTGAACATTCATAATTCAATAATATAGTTTTATAATTACATGATCGATAATAAAAATAATAAATTGCAATATAATACAATTAATATTATATTATTATTTATTATAAATAATATTAGATAGTCTAAAAGTTTTATATGATAGTTAATATTAATAATGTTATTATAATGTTATTATAAGATTTACAAAAAATAAGATATTATTTTAAATATTTATCTTTCTTAATTTAATTTATTTTTAATATAAAATAATATAATACAAATAAGATATAAATATAACTAATATTCAATATAAATATTTAATAATGGTTATAATTATATATTTAAAAATTAAATAGTCATTTTAAAAATATTATAAAAATACATCATTATTGCCAAATATTTAAAAAATAATTTAAGCATTTTTAAATAAGAGTGCAGTATAAATACGAAGTCGAAATTGAATCGTATTTGAGCTTGATTCAATAATATCAATTCGTTAATCGTTTTTTTTTAAATTCATGATCATTGATTCTTTTTTTTTCTTCTTTTCAATTTTCACTTTTTTCATGCATATTTTTAATATATGAAGAATTATATTTTATTTATAATTATTTATATATATAAAAAATATATATGTATATAAAATAAAATAAAATAAATTAAAATAAAATAAAATAAAATAAAAGAATATTAAATAGAAATAAAATTTTAGAATTAAGAAAAATTTAAATATTATATTGTTTACTTACTCCTTGAATGAGAATATCTCGAATTCTGTTTTTTCGATATAAAGTTTGAAGAAATTATATAATTCATAGATTTTATTGTAATTCATATTTATTAACCAGAGATAAATAAATAAAATTAATCAATAAAATCTAAATTTCTTAATTTTCAAATATTAATTAAATTCATTTCTTAAATTGCAAAATAAAAAAATTCAAATTTTTTAATAAATTTTTATTAAATGCAACATATTAAATATAATATAATTTTTCAGAAATTGTTAGTATTTATAAATATTTATTATTATATAAATATATATAAATGTATCTTCAAATGCTTCTGCTAGATAAAAAAGAAACAAAATATGATACAGAATTAATTTAACATTCAATATATTTTCTTATCTTATAGTTTGGAAACCTCAAAAGAATAAGTTTGAATTATAAATCAATGAGTGAATAAAACTTCTATTATAAAATTAGAATTTTTTTTTTGTATTTTCCAATCTCCTTCTCATGTATGGAGAATCAAATTAAAATAATTCTTACAAATGAATTTGTTGAAAAAGTTTCAATCTTTATCGTTTTCAATCATTTTATTTTTAAATATTTTATAAAAATCAAATTTTGTTCAAAATTTTTCTTTAAATATAATAGATTGTATTAAATTTTGTTATATAAAAAATATAAAAAATATATAAAAATACATATGTATAAGATATATATATTTACAATATAAAAATTAGATTGAATAGATTCTATAAAGAATTTTTAATCAATGGATAAAGACAATTAGGCAAAGATATAAAATAAAGTTAATTAGATAACAGAATTGTCTTTTGAATACAAATTTTACAGCGTATAAACAAGGAAAGTAATTAATATAGATAAAGATAGAGATAGAATAAAAATTAGGGAATCAGCGCCATCTGCAGAGTGCAAATGAAACATATAAAAAAGGATAGCAAATAGTAAGAGAAAGATAGAGATAAGCTAAGAATTGATCGATAATGCCATCTCTTGAATATTAAAGATATTTCTTTGAACATATTTACGAAATGGCGTTGATATTCAATTCTTACGTTATTCCATCTTTGAAAAAATTTTTTTATTCAATAGATGGCGCTAAGAGTTGATTCTTACTTTATCTCTATTCTTTTCCTATTATTTTCTTACCTATATAAGTTTCATTTATAGAATTTTGGAGATGGCGCTATTGTCTTTCTCTAATTATTTGTTCTTATTATTTGAAGCAAAAGCCATATAAATGATTAAATAAATAAAATTTAATAATTTAATATCGATAAATGAATAAATAAATAGAAAAAAGAATAAATGAAAAAATAAATAAACAAATATATAAATAATATTTATAAATATATATAAATAAACAAATATATATATATATATATATAATAAATGATAATATAAGTAAAAGAATAAAAAAAAAAATAAAAAAATATTATATAAATAAATAAATAAATAAATATCAATAAATGATTATATAAATAAATATATAATTAACATATATAAAATATATAATAGAAAAATATATAAATATATAATTAAATAAATTAATAAATAAATTAAAAAATTTATAAATGAATTACTATATATTTACATAAAATGAGATTAATATAATGAATTTTTGGTGATTAGAAAATTCGCATTCTGGACAATTCATAATGAACCAAAGTTAAATCTTATATTTAATTTTGATTTTATATATACAATTTATATATTTTTTTATATTACCTTCTTTTTCTACTATTTTTTTTAAATTTAATTAATTTTTATTTTAAATGTCTTTTTAAAAATTTTATATTCCAATTATTGTAATTTAAGTAATTTTTATATAAAATTAATTGTAATAACTCATTTTTTAATTATAATAACTTATTTTTATTATATTTTTACTCGATATAAAATTTTATAAAACTATATATAAAAATTTATAGTTTAAATATACTATACTATAATATTTCAATTTTCAATTTTTGATTCATTTATTCAGTTATTCATATATTTATACATTCTTTTATTAAGATTTATTT